TGATAAAAGCAGACTCCACAATAAACAAATGCTATGGCACTCTTTCAAAAGATGAAGGCTAAAACCTTGAATTACAGAACAAAGAAAGTCTTACCAGGAACAGCTGCAGGGACAGTACGGTGGAGAGCTGTGACAGTAGCCATAGCCACTTGCTCTGGTGTATACTTCTTTGTACAGGCATGTCCAGCAGTCACCATGTTGGGCTTTAGCAGGGTGCCCTCTAGGTAAACATGATGGTCATTCAGGGCCTTGTAGACAGCTGCCAGAACCTGAAGGACAAAAGGGACCAAACACCTGAAATCCAAAATCAGTCTCAGAGATTATGACCTTGACAATTCTGTACTACAAGGACCTAGGATGAAGCAATTCCCATATGTTCTTACCCAAAGCTTCTAAATCCACCTCCAGGCCCCTGGGCACGTCTGGGCAATGTGTGCCACACTGCCACTGAGGACAACCAATCTGATTTATCCTCTGATTTAAACTCTAACACTCCATTATAGTTCACTGCATGAACTATTGGCATCTTTCTGTTTCCTAGAGACCCTTTCCATTATTATTCCAATTATGCTTTTGGTCAGTATTGTTTTCTAATGAGACTGTCTTGACTTCGCTGGTTGGGGACACCTAAACTGACCTCCACTCTTCAACCCTAAAGAAGCTGAATAGTCATTAACATACATTTTAGAGATATGAGCACTTTCAAATCCCATGTAAGTCCACACAATTTTGCAAGGAAAGAAATTAAGGCCAGATAATTTTTTTTCTCATACTTTCTCAGAGTGTATGAGGAAGAAAGCCTTATTCCAGAATTACTGTGACTAATTTAGAAAGTTAAACATGATACAGCATACTTTCTAATTTCATTTTCGCGTGAGCCTCAGATCTTATTTTAAAACTGCTTGTGCACATATAACGGAGCTGTGGTCCAAAAGAGATAATATGAGTTGCCCAAGGTCCCACAAATGGATTCTCCAACTCAAACCTTGGTACTGGAAATCCTGGCCTTCTTCCATAAGAGGAAAGCATCACATACCAGCAACTGAAGAGTTCATTAGCCACTCTACTGTTTCCATGGTACATAATGATTCTGAACTGAAGGCTATTTCAAAGATAACAGCTGTTATATATTATGTAATAGTTATCAAGGCTGGAGGTTACCTCAGTGATAGCTTGTTGTGGACCTAGCAATGCTGGATCCAATCCTCAGCACGGGGGTGGGGTGGGATGGGTGGTGGTGGTGGTGGTGGATAACTATTACTTAAAACACAGGAGTTTTAAAAACTGGAATTAGGACCTTTATATTTAAGACCTACCTTCTCAGTAACGTACTGGCAGTGTTCCAGGTCATGCTCTCCATCAGGAATTACCTCTGGTTCAACAATAGGTACTAGCCCATTCTAAAAAAATAAAATAGAGTCAAGCAAGGGACAAAAGTGAAGCTGTGCTCACCGTGAAGCTTTCCTTAGGAGCAGATTCAACAGATGCAACTAGTAAGAAAGAAGCCTTTGTGGAGAAATGCTATATGGGTGAGTTACATTGGTAAAAGAAATTGATGGAGTATCTAGTGAACATCTGTGGCTTAGCCAAAAAAGAACAGTGAAGTTAAAAGTTTTTCAAGAATGGAGCAAAAAATTAATCCCTTCATTTCTACATCATATTATAGAGATTATTCTAGCTACCTCAGAAACTAGCTGCTATCTTATTAGAGCAGTCAAGTTTAAATTACTGAGAAAGATGCTTCTAGTTAAGAAATTCAAGCAGAGTTAACAATTCTAATGGGGAATTTCCAGTTGCCCACAACTTTGGTCATCCCAACATAGTACCCACAGAAGCAAATCAAACTTAACTTTGACCCAGAGATGCTTCAGCATATGTTGGTTGGAAAACTTAGCATCAAGTCACCAACCTCCAAGAAATTATTTCGATCAAAACTAGGGATGTGAGAGAAATCCCTAGTTATTTAGCCCTAAGAGAAGGCAGAGCACCTGTTGACAAATACTGGCGTAGCGGGCCAGGACAACGGCATTTTCCTGGATAGCAAGACTGGAGGGACACTGGTCGGCAATCCTCAGCACAGCACGCCACTTCCCAAAGTCACACCCATCTTTCTTGTACTGAGCGCAGCGCTCAGAGAGGCCATCGAGCCCTGCAAGTCACAGAAGAAAGAAAGGCTTCTTTGAACACTTGTGTGGCCTCTGGTGAAGTGGATTCCCTGGATTAGCTCTCTGTCCACAAAGATTTAGGACCAACCGCACCCAAGAAAATAAGCATTCATCCCAATGCTGGGCCAAAAGACCTAGACTTAATAAATATGTTTTGATGTACATACAGGATACTCCGTAGGTAGAATAGAGGGCACTCTAATAGTTAATATTAAACTCATTTTACAGAATTGGAAACTAAGGCTCCGTGTGGTTAAGTGATTTTTTTCTTAGAGTTTCAACAGTTCAAGAGTGATAGAGCTAGAATCCAATTTTTGCTTAGCTAACTCAGTGCTGTGATTAATAATTGTCTTCTTCTTAGGCAGAAGTACCTTGCAAAATTATCTATGTAGCATGTAATAGAAAAAGGGTTCAAACTCAGGTCTGTCTTATCCCAAAGTCTGGGGCCTTTTCTCTACATTGCTACTGGGTTTTTCTTTTAAGGTACAGAGTATCTTCAAGGTACAGAGTATCTTCTCTGTGCAAGGTGTGGTGGTAAGCATTACATTATCTAATATAATCCCCACAACCCTCTGGCCAAGTATTGTTATCATCATTTTAAGGTGAGAGAATTAAGCTCAGAACACTTAAATGACCACCCTGAGATTACACAGCTATTAAATGGTCCTTCATTTAACTGGGATTGAAAACTAAGGCATGGGTGGCTCTAGAAGTAGAGTAATATTCATATTTTGTTTTCCCTTCCTTCTTTCTTTACCCATATTGTTTGTAGCCTATATGATAATGACTTAGTAGATAGTATCCTTACCTTGAATGGTGGTTTCTTTGTTTGTTCCTGCAAGGGGAGCACTTCCTTGGTCTAACTGTGGATATAAATAATTAATAAGTAATTAGCAAGTGCCAGATGTCTATAGAACACAAGCAGAGCACTTGGTGCTGTTCTGATCTTTTAAAATCAAGGACTAAATTAAGAAAGTGTAACAGAGGCCAGGATTTAGCTCAGTGGTTTCGCTGCCTGCTGCGCAAGCACAAGGACCCGAGTTTGATCCCCAGTACCAAAAAAAAAGAAAGTGTAACAGTGGGAGACACAATTCAGTCCACCATAGCAGAAGGGATGTTACCTAGAAGGAACAGTGTGATAGTGTCAGTCCTAACATTTACTAAGCATCTGCACTTGACAGGCTATGTGTTCAAATAGGAGGTAAAGAGAATAATGGTACAGTTTACTCTCAAAACATCCAGTACTAAGGCCACAAACCCAAGAGTTAGATAGCCTGATTACAGGCAAGCTAGCTGCCCTATAGAGTACCCATCTGTAAACTAAGGACAGTAACTGAGTCTCTTCCAAGAAGTAGTGCAGAGATTAAATGAGTGCTAGAAACTGTAAACACTCAATGAATGCTGGTTTTCATGCAATATTAGAAGACCTAGTTAGAAAATAGAACAATAAGTACTTTAATAAAAATAGCTACTGTTAACTGATTAGTTATGTGATAGAAAATATTTTAAAAATTCATTTCATCCTTTTAATAACTTTATGAGATAGGTACTAATACTTTCACCTTAAGAAATAAGCAAATAGAGATGAAGAGAGATTAAATACCTTGTAGAAAACTTGGTTGAAAGATGAGAGCACTGGAAGAAAAGTCTAAGAGAGGATCTAGTTCTCCATGGGAAGATGATGATGGAAAAGAGTGAGAAATGAGATGATGAGATGAGTATCAGCCTTGCCCTGGCAGTGGGCCCATGAGGAGGCAGGGGTGAAGAGTGAACAGAAGTATTCACCTTGATGCCCACCACAATCCCCTTCTCCCTGAGGATGTTTCTGAACAGATTTCCCTGGCTGTCCTTCTGGTAGAGAGTCTCATGGAAAAGGATCACTCCCCCGATGCTCTTGTTGATGGAATTGTCCACAGAGAAAAGAATTTCTCGAAACTGCCGGCGGTTCTCTTCAGTATTTTCTACCTTGATCCTCTGCAGGCGATTTCCCATGGTGCCTAAGCAGGGTGGACCAAAGGTAGTGTAAGGAGCAAGCCAGAACTTTGCTATGGTCCTTCTTCGCCCTCAGTCTTGAAAAGTAAGAACTTTTCTTAAAAATTCAGATCTTCAACACTCCTGATTGTTTTTGTCTCCTGGAGGAAGACACTGGTTGCTGTCATAGTGCTGGCTAGGAGGTATAGGGGTTCCAGGTGAATGTGGAAAGCCCTTGGGCCTCTTTAGACCTCTACTGATCCAGGCAAGTTGTATGTGCAGTGGAAGGAGGAATGGGGCAGGCTGTCGACTTTAGTTCCTATTGTTATAGGGCAGGCTGGGCAAACTGGCTACAATTCTCCCTGTGCCATAATGGGATTCCCTCAGCCACAAATCCTCCCCTAGTCCACATGCAGATTCTTCTCTGCCCTTCCTGACTGAGCTGACTTTATATTGACCTCATTAGAAGCAAATGGCCATGTATCTGACCTCACTAGTTACTGAGTTCCTGGCCTTGCTATAGTCTTGATTCAAATGACCCTTAGCAAGGACCTTATTGCAGGGCTATATCCTCTTTCTTTGGTTTTTCAGAATCTACCTATAAAACTATAGGACTCAAAATGTGGAAGTAGAGATGCAGAGAGACTATCACACCCACTGAGTCTTTTGCTCTCACTCGTGTACATAAACATTTAAGAGGAAGGAGGATGATTAGCTGGTTGCTTTTTCTAACTGTAGAAACAAGAGTACATTATTGTATGACACAACTGTTTCTCACACTTACCTACAGATTCATCTGCAGCCAGAATTCCCTTTCCATTGGCAACAATGCGCTGGGCAATTTCTGAGAGCTCCTTCTTCTGTTCTGGGGTGAGGGCTGGAAATCGATGAGCCATGGTGACAGGTCTGGAAAAAAATGCAAGAGAACCATGCAGAGAGATGTGGTTGGCTCAGGCAAATTCATGACTAAGACAATAAGAGTGGGAAGATGAGCTGTAGAGGCCCCTCTGATACTTCCATCCCATTTCAGCAACTGGATAAACAAAAGGTATATGTTTTATTTTTCCTTCACCTAAGTAATTGCAATTAGTCATATTGGACAAAGGTGTGGGGCCAAATGTTTATGGTGACTCTAAACAGAATGATTTCCAGGGGATCTTAGATGTCACTGATCCTCAAGCTGGCCCAGATAATTAGTGACTCATTAAAATAGAGGAAATTTTAGTATGGACTAGCTCTGTTGTGTGAATTCCTGGCCTCACATGGTATCTTGGATGCCTTGAGGTCAGGACTATGAGGCTTCTAGCCTCTGTGGTTATCTCGTACTTCATTCTATTAACCTGTAGTCCCAGCCGATTATTCTTTAGGCAAAATAAGTTTGAGAGAAGAAATCCATACTTGGCCTTAAAGTTAACCTCACTTTGGTTTTGGACCATATGGAATGGGGTACAAAGCTTGTTTTTCTTATAGTCAACCATTTATGAGACCATATAGAGAAGACCAGACTTTTTCCTAATTGCCTCTAAACTGAGGGTTCTCCTGTCCCCTGCAGATGATGGAGTTATGTGGCAATTCCTGCTAAAGTAATTCACAGCTTCACTGCTTTAGTTGAGGACAGACTAGCTCAAAGATTTGCTACCCACACATCTTCCTCAGAAATAGTCCTCTAAAAGGGAGCACTGTTCCTATTTGGTTGGCAAATTTTGGTCTCTGAATGATTTTTGCATAGGTTGAGCTATCAAAGGAAAAAGTGTAGTGAAGATTATTTTGAGCAGTTTCCCATCCAATCCTGTAGTCTCCTCTTTGCACTAAGCTTCTCTCCTCTAATACTTTCAATATAGGGTGGATGCCCTATGTCTGCATACTTAGTATGAATTAAATGGTGATAATATTGGCTCTGGTTGTCTCATAGCCAAGTGACTCAAATGCAACCCGTGAGCACCCTGTGAGCATAGGATATCCTGTGCCTTCCACACTTTATAGAAGCACAGGGACACTTCAGTTCTCATTTGATCCTCTCAGTAGTGAGGTGATTATGGCAAGTATTATCTTCATTAAATAATGAACAATGCTAAGACTTAGAGGAGTTAATGGATTTACCCAAACTCATAGGTGGAGTGAAACAGAGTTTTGTTCTTAGACTTCCCTTCGTGACAAACTCATTTCTTTACATTTAACATCTCTTCAGGGCAGGCTCTCAGTAATCTATCCCTTGATATAAAGAGCCTATGGCTACTGAACTAATTCAAGTGAAAGTATAACCAATGACTTCATTGTTGCTCTTCACTTCAACAGAGGTTCTTGCTTTAACCTAAGAGAATGGAACTATAATTCTGTCATTAGAACCCTATGATAAGCTAGTGAGTAATGATTCCTAGAGAAGGTGATCTTCCAAAGCTCTATCACATCCCAGGCACAGACAGTTGATGTTGCACCATTTATACATAGCCTATCATCTTATAATTAGAGATTTTAAGCTTTGACTTGAGCTCCAAACCATCATACTGACAAATACAAACCTGGGGTGCAAATTTTTCCTCTCAGTTTTGGTATTTGCACAAAAGTGTTGATAATTAGCAAAAATAAGAATTTGTTTCTTAATGAAACAAAAGTAAAATAGCCCAATAATAATAAAAATCATCATTTATTGCCAAGCATTCTAATTGCTACGTATGCATCATATAATTTATTCCTCACAATAATCTCAGAAATCAGTTGAGCTCTTTGGCCCTTTCTCTTCACAGATTAGGAAAGACTATAAAATAGTTTAAATTATTTGTCCAAGGACAAGTATCTAATGAGACACAGTGTTGACAGACAGGGTTACACTTCCTTTTATTCAAGAGAAAAAGTGAGCTTGGTAAAGGAAATTGGCCTTGAGATTACTTATAAAGTCCTTGGTGACAATTCCAGAGTAGCTTAAGATGTAAATCATTACACCAGAGACATTATCAATTCAAAGCATCTAAAACATTCACGTAGAGATTTGCTGCTGGGAGATTAGACAGACCTGGGTTCAGAGACCACCTCTGCCTCTCCTAGCTGGAACTTTGGGGAAATCATGTAACTTTTCTGCATCTTAGTTTACTATGAATTAAATGGTGATGATATCTGCTGTGGTTGTCTTATTGCCAAGTGACTCAAGTACAACCTGTGAGCATCCTGTTCACTGCAGTTCCTCAAAATATATTTTTGAATTGTGTGTTAAACATGAAGATGCTTTATAAAACACTATAAAATGCAAATTATTAATATTTATCTGTTTTAACATTTAAAAAAATAATCATCCAAAGGATTTCCATTTTTTATTCCTAAGCTATTCTCCTCATTTTAGGTATGCTGACTCAAGCAGAATAACAGAAAAAAGTGAAGTTAAACTTGTACTGTTTACAGGTTAAACTCCTACAGAGGGATTAAAGGTCAGTACCCATATCAGCACAAATGTTGTCTTATGTTAATTATAAAACAGAGTCACAGGCCAATGTTCACCACAAGGAAATAGGAGGCCAGCCTGGAGTGGATATTGATAGATAATAATTTCTGTGTACCCTAAGCCTCCGATCACTGAGGTCTCAAGCCCACTTTAGAAAAAAATTGTGATGAACAGTTGTTCATATTATTATTGTTATAGCACAATAGAAATTGGGATGAGAAGTGAAAAAATGCAAAGTTTTAGAGCAGTATGCAATTTATACCATCACCTTAATTTTTATTTTAAAGAAAGTATACCCACAAACCTCTGAGGAATGAGATAAAGTGGGGAGACCCTCATGTTTCTCTTTATACATTCTTTGTAATGTTTAATTTTTTAATAAGCAGATATATACATATATGTATACATATCAAGAAATATATGTGCAAATCTAGAAAAAGCTTGTGAATATTAACATATATGAGTAGACAGTAACTACAGAAAAATAGAGCTCAGAGATATTTGAATCAGTTCTACCATTAGAGATGAGAAAACTGAGGCCTAGGAAGACCATGTCTGATGCCCTTTCTAAGTTGAAATGTTCTGCGATTGCAAGTCACATCCTGCTCACTTGTGACTTAGAATCTTATTTCTAGTTCTTCAGCCAAATGGCTGATGGAGCTTTACAGTGTGGTTCATTCTGCCTTACTTAAAGAGGTGCTGGGAAAAGATAGTCATTTGCGAAATACAGATGTTTAACTCTCAAAGAAATACTAGGCAGCAGAGCCCATTTGCTTCTTCACATAAAAAGCAGGAGGATTTTCAAGAAGACAAATGTAGAAAGTGTGATTCATTGAAATCCTGTAATTGTCAAGTGCTATATACAGTGCCCTTGTGTCGGATGCATAAAGATGTCCACAGCTTTGTTCTGCACCTCGGTGAAAAGAAATAAGTGCAGTGAGATGATCTGGGGCAGCCAGAGGGTGGTCTGATTTGCAGTGTCTTTGAACACGTGAAGCAGCCTAGAAAGATCTGAGTGTGGCTTTTTCCTCCAAACTGGCACCTAAAGCCAAAAGAACTCTTAGGTGTTTAAAAACTACATCCCCTTTCCCTGCCCTAGTACCACTGACTCTGACCTTGGGTTCCACAGGTGTGCTTTGGCTAAAGTGTTACGAGTGTCATAGAAGCCAGGGTCAATCCCCTGCTGCATCCAAACTGGCGAAGGGAGCACAAGGTACTTGTTAAAGAAAAGTTCATGACAAAGGCAATATATTCTCCTAACATCACTAGTTTTCAGGTAGTTGACCAAATGTACCAAAATAAATCAGCAGCTTTTGATTCTTAATATCTAAAACTGTCATGTCTTCATAGAGTCTGGTGTCCATGAAGAAGGAACTGTCTAAAGCTTCCAGCAAGTGGAGGTTTTGGAAATTCATAATCACATGACAACTATGGCCTGTGAAGTTTCTAAACCTGTTCCATTTCCTTATTTGAGCAGTGGGTGAAGGCAAAGGGCAAAATACTTGAAGTGTTTATTTCTGTGACAAAGAAACTTCAGTGCTAGTACCAGTAGGTGTGGGAAAAGAATGTAGAAAATGACATAAGGCAATATGTAAGTAAATCGTTTCAATAAGTACTTGTTTTGAAAAGTGAGAGTAGAAATAGAAATCTCAAAAACTTATGAGAGTCTAATAAAATAGAACTGTTCGAGCCATTTTTTCCTAGATCAAAGACTTAAAAGTAACACAGGTAATTAGAAGTTTATCTGGCTCATCCTGCCACCTTCAGGAAAAGTATGAATGAGTATTTATGCTTAGAGAGAGAAAAATAATCATTTCAGCAGACCCACCCTGTTTGCAGCCACCATCACACTTTTCCTGAAAACAAAGACAAATAAACTTTCCCCTCTACAAGTTGAGTATGACAGTTCACTACCCCTTATTCACTATGCACTCCAACTATTCAAAGGAAATTCTTTACTTACTCTGAGAGAGAAGAGTTCTCTTAGATGTCAGAAGCTTTGGGTGAGGCAGAAGCTGCCAAATAGGACGGATCTTTGGGAACACACAGTTTTTATAGATGTCTCATTAAAGTTTTTTTTTTTAACTTTTGCCCTCCCCTTCCTATTTGGCAGGGTAAAGAGGTGTTTATTCACCACATCTGATTGGTTCATACACAACCAATCCTTATAATCATGGTCACACACTTCTTGTGCTTATACAGTGTAAAGCTACAAAAGTGCCTTTAGATTATGTAGTTCCGAATTCAGATTTTGAAGTTAAGAAAACTGGGGCACAGTGAATTATAAATACCTAAATTATGCAGCTAGTAAAAATGTCTTATTTTATTTATTTCTGTACTATTCCAAACCTTAATTTTCTCCTCTGTAAAGTGAAATCTCACCTTCACAGGAGCATTGAGCCTATAAAATGCTCATACTGTATACAGTAGGCACTCAAGAAACATTATTTCCAAATGGTCAAGCAATGCTGTATTTTCTTTATCTTCAGTTAGGTATCTTTAATAATTATCATCTTCAATGCTTATTATTATGTATTTTCAATGATTCATTAGTAGTCAGTCCCAACTAGTTATTCTATAATTTATATTGTAACTATACATTATCATTTAATTTGAATAGTTTTTCAATGAAAGAAATAATTCTAAATATTTTAATTTCCTATGTGTGAATTTTATTTTTATAGAAAATAAAATTCAAATGTTCTGTTTTTTGTAAAAGTCAGTTTCCCACTTTCTTCTTAATCTCCAAAAATTATATGGGGCTCCCTTTGTATATAATGTCAAAAACCACTGCCTTGTACACTATTCTTTTCTTGATAACAGTTATGCTTTTGACTCCAGTGTTGACAAAAACAAAGCCATCAGCACCCAAATGTGGGACCAAGTATGAGTTTATTCTACAAATATTTTTTCTTGGGGATTAAACCAATTTATAATTCTAGAAAAGTAAACAAAAATATAAAATTCTTTATGTAGCAAGTAATGGATGATGCAAATTTTTAAAAAGGAATCTAAAAATAATGAAATGGCTATAATTACAAGAAAATATAAATTATCTGGAATGTATCCCTTTGGAATAATTCATAAAATGGAAAACAAAATCAAACAAAACCAACATGTTGATGGTGTAGAGCCTAATGCTATAACCTATTGGTGAAAAGTGAAATATCAATAAAAAGAAGGGAGAAGAAGCAGAGAATTAGGTTTTCTGGTGTTAAATCTCAGACAGCTCCTAAAAATAGAAAGTATTAGACATTGAGTGTGATTACTGAAGGAAATTGAAACACAAAACACAAAATGTTTGTGTCTGAAACACAAAATTGAGGCTTATGTAGCTGGGGAAGTTTTGACCACAGCCTGTCCTATGGATATCAAAAGGTTAGACCAGATAAAGTTCCCATCAGCCCTCTTGACTCCATCTGTCCTCTAATTGCATATTTTTGGTTCCCCCATTTCCACCTGATGCTCATTCAAGCATGTGGTAGTTGATTTTGAGATGAAGGGGACCTGATCTGGAGACATGTGATGTTTCGTCATATATGATTTTAAAATTTTATTTTATTGTTTATTAATTTTATTGGTACATTTTAGGTATACAATATAATAACATTCATCATTGGAGATGTGTACCTTTACATAACCTCTCTTGATTCTTATTTTTTTCCCCATTCCCCTGTCCTCCCTTCAACACCCCCCCCCTCCCTATTTACAAAGACTTTGTTTCCATTCATCATATATGATTTTTGTTAAAAGAGAATGGAAGCAGAAGTGGTGCAGAGTGATGAAAGAATGGAGAGTGAGTGCAGTGATACCTGTTGGGGGTCAAAGCTGAAATGGTCAGAGCAATAGCTAAAACATCCCACCTGCTAACAGATGCTACTAGTACTAGTTATTTTTGCTATTACAATGACAATAACAATAACACCTATCTTTCTTTTTGAGACTCTGTGATGCACTTGGTTCTTTCTATACATAATCTTCAACCTCAGCACTTCTCTATGGAAAGTTTGATCACCCTTATTTTATATATAAAGAAACTAGTTCAAAGAAGGCAGTAAGTTGTCCAAAGTCACAGGACAGGTACGTGCAGAGTCTATCTCACTCCAAGTCAATGACCAAAAGCAGTTCTGTTTACATTTTGGTGACCACAGACAGAATAGGTTAGCTCTTTCCCTCTCCTTCTCTCAGTATTTTATAACCTTGGACATTAAACTTGCATTAATCAGAGAGGAATGACTTACGTCGGCAGAGCTGGGTGGCCCCGGTCATGCTGGGCATCATTTCACGTGAACAGTAGCCTGGCCAGGAATGTCAGAGGAGCATGAGTACACCAGCCCCTGAACGGGTTGCTGCCCCTGTGGCATCAGCATTTGCCCACCTCCAGGGCTTGAGGAACAACAGAAACTCAAAGTTCAGGAAAGCAAAACTGAGGGCCTTTTCTTAAAGAAAGAACAACTCCTGGTCCAAGCAGACTGCTGTCATGGTTTAGCTTTGTTTGGTTCGGTGTGGTCGGGGGATTATTGTTTTAAAAGTCTCCTATCTTGTAAAATTTTCAAAATGTTCTCCACATCATGTTACATAGAAAGCACATGGCTCTTTCAATCTGTGAAATACTGGGGAGTTTTACAACCTTTTTGGACCATAGTTTTACTGTCTGTGAAAAGGGTTCATAATGACTCCATCAGAAACTGATTAAGAAGCATGAATGAAATAAAATGATGAAGAATCTAGCACAGAGTAGATTTTTACTAAGTAGCTGGATCTGAATGTACAACTCTGACGTAGAGGTCTCAATGATAGATATTTTAATAGGCAATACGATGATATTATTCATGATAATTGCTATCAGTACCTCCAGCAACAGCCCTTTTATTCTCCACTTTCTGCCCCATTCCAAATACTTCTGGTATGAATGTGTACATAAGTCAATCAAAAGGCTATAAGTGAAATGTATTCACATGCAGCATGAAGTATGAGTCCACAAACAAATTTGTTCATAAAACTAAAATCTCTGTGTCATAAAGTTATACTCACTATAGAATTGGTGATACTATGGAGAAAGAACTTTGATAAAAGGTGGCCACATCTAAATAATGCAACTTGAAGTATTGTGGCTGGAATTTTAAAAATATTTTTCTACTCTGTGATACAAGTATTTCCTTATTGTATGGCTATTTTGGTGGGTGAAGTGGTTTCAAGACTTTGAAATCAGTAATTATTTTTGTCATGAAGAAACCATACAATTTACTTTGTTTAGAAGCTCAGAATGAGAGAGTGTAAATGGTTTTAAAGCACAAAATGAGCTCAGGGGAATTTGGGAATAAAAGAATCAGGTTTTGCTTTACCTTTCTTCATCGCAAAATTTTTTAATTGCTAAGGAATCTGAATTCTGCGTTCTAAGACTAGAATGCCTATGTAAATTCAAGAATCTCAGGTAAGTGAGTTTAAGAATATCCCTATTCTTGGGCTTAGAAATACCACTTCCCTTGATACTAGGTAGTAAAAATGAAGCTTAAAATGGAGACGTAATGGGGCCGGGTATTTAGCTCAGTGGTGTTGCCACCTGCCTTGCAAGCACAAGGTCCTGAGTTTGATCTCCCGCACCAAAAAAAAAAAAAAATGGAGAAGGAGCTTTCATAAAAAGGAGCCACATCTACACAATTGGAATTGAAAGAATCATGGCTGGATTTTTAAAATATGTTTCCGATCTGTGATACACATATTGACTTAATTATACTGTTACCTGCTTTAGTGGTTGAAATGGTTTTGACTCTGAAATCAGAGGTCATTAAGAATTTGAGGTTTCCATTCATCAAGAATTCATTCATCAAAAATTTCAGGTTTTTCACATTTCAGGAAATTTGAAGAAGAAGCAGAGTGATTACAAAATAATTTCAGAATTACTAAGGAACCAGTATTTATCTGACAGGAAGAAGTTACACTGTGGTCTTCAGAAGCCATCAGTTTCCATGTTCCCATATTGCCTTGTATTGGGTTATTTACCACCCAGTCAGTGTTTTCTCTTTGCCTTTTGCTCAATCATCTCAAAGTCCAATATTTTCTCCTCACTATCTAATCAGGTTCTTGGTTACCTATGTCATTTATGACCCTCAGCCTATTATTTTTCTCAGTAATCCTTATCTCTTTGGTAAAAGTGTTGGCCTTTTGATGGGAAGGCACTGTATACTAGAGAAAAAAATACTCAGATGAAGAAGCATGAGGTCTAGATGCAGGGGCAAGGCCTGCCCCTGACCAGCCACAGGACTGAAGAAAGTTACCTTCTCCCAGCCTCCCTTTCCTTGATGTGAAAAGTAGGCCTAGTAATAATCACTCCCACCCAATTTTACTGTGCAATTGCATTGGTCAAACTACAGAGTCCACCAAAAAATGGATACACACATCAGGAAAAGAAAAATAGTATGATTTTTTTAAACAGATGGTCTTACCCTCATATAGGGGATCCTAAAGGGTATCATATATCGCAGAAAACCCACTACACTGCTGGCCCTTAGAGAAGAAATTGAAAATGCATGTTCAGCAATCTCAATGACCATGGTTACCTAAGCAACTGCTCACCATACTAATGAAAGCTAATGGTCACCATTTTGAGCATTTCTTTTAATTGCAGAGGCCAAAGGTAACTTGTATTAATCTCATGATGTCTCAATAAATTTAGTATTA